GTTGTAGAAGACCCATTTGGGCCAGGCCAGGATCAGGGGGTGCATGCGGTAGCACAAGCTGAGCTGCATCACAGCTGACTCGTGGTCCCTTATTGCGTGGTGGAGTCGGTCAAAAATGGAAAGGCATAGCCCCTGGTCCGCGGCCTTCCTGGAGATCACTGTGGGAGGGAGCTGCTTGGGGTCGCCGACCAGCACTAGGTGTCCTCCGTAGCGGATCACGCTATCCAGGGACATGGTCGCCATAAGCTCGTGAGCCTGTCCCGCCTCGTCGATGATGAGGAGGGCGACCGGGGCGGCCTTCTTCAGTGCTTCGGCGGACTCGTGGGTGGCAATGATGGTCTTGGCCTCTTTTAGCAGGTGGGTCCGGAATCCAGGGAAGTCCTTGGAGGATGAGCCACCTTCGTAGGGGAGCCTGCCGTTGGCCTTCTGGTAATGTCCTCCTGGGGTGAACTCTGCCAGTTCCTTCGCTGTCTTATGATCTTTGGCTAGGCGCACGCACCGGGAGGGGAACCCAGTGCTGGGAGCCAGCTTATTGTCTCTATGGGCGGCGAGAAGTGCCAGTGCCGGTTGGTCAGCGGCTGTGTTGGACCCCGCGGCCAAGGCTACCGACAAACCGGGGTTGAGCGCGCCGGCCCAGGCGTCCATGGTTGCGACTGAGTAGATCGTCTTGCCCGTCCCAGGGTGGCCGTGTACGATCGTGACGTGGTGCCTGGTGCTGGTGGGGATACGCAAAGCGTGAAAAATAAAATAGTGATAACAATAACGTGAATGGTAAGCATAACCATAATATTAATGATACGGTGTGATAAAGCAAACGACTAAAAAAAAATCGATTGGAAAATGGTATCAATAACCAGTAAACCAATCAACATAATGATGCTAATGCTGGCGGTGGTAATGCTAGCAAGAATGATGGTAATCATGCGGATACAAGTAAAAATATTGATCATAATCATCAACACCACAATGATCATCATCACCACCACCACCACCACCATTGTCATCAATAGCATGATCATCATGAGTATCATCAGCAGCAGGATAATCATCCTCATCGTCAGCATCGTCATCATCGTCATCATCGTCATCATCATCATCAACATCATCAGCATCATCAACACCAACGTCATGATCATCTGCATCCTCATCAGCATCGCATATTCGTCATCATCAGCAGAAGAATACCCACCATCAACATCATCACCATAATCAGCATCATCATCACCATCATCATCATCATCATCATCATCATCATCATCATCATCATCATCAGCGGCAGCAGCAGCAGCATCATCAACAACGTTCCCTCCTCCTCCTCATCATCAGCCTCCTCCTCCTCCTCCTCACCCTCCTACTCCCCCTCCTCCTCCCCCTCCTCCCCCTCCTCCTCCTCCCCCTCCTCCCCCTCCTCCCCCTCCTCCTCCTCCTCCCGAAGACCCCGTCCGCCAGAGCCGTACCCCAAACTCCCCGTGGCGGGCCACTGCCAGCGCCTGCGCCCTCGTCGACACGGCGCCGGCCGCGGGGCCGGGGCGCGCGGCCGAGGCCGAGGCCGCCCCGCGGCGCGCCCTTGTGCGGCGAGCCGCCCCGCGCACTCGCGGGGACGCGGGGCGCCTGCGACACGCGCCCAGGCCGGAGCACCAGGCGCTCCTGACGGGAGAGGTCTCCGAGGAGCATGGCTGGGATGAGGAGCACGAGAATTTCGGAGGAGGTGCGGGAGGAGGAGGAGGAGGAGGAGGAGGAGGTGCGGGAGAAGGAGGAGGAGGAGAAACAGGTGGATGTTGCCAGCATGGGAGCGGGGGAGCGAACAAACGAACGAAGCGCCACCGTCGCGCCAGAGCGCGTCCCTCGGGGGATGGGCGCCGGAGTGCTCGGACTGCAGAGCTTTGGAGGCCGATGGCCCGTCGGCAGAGTGCGGCGCTGCAGCGGGGGAGGGAGAGGGGGAGACAAGGGGGAGGGGGAGGGAGGGAGGGAGACAAGGGAGGGAGGAGGAGGGGGGAGGAGGAGGAGGAGGAGGAGGAGGAGGAGGAGGAGGAGGAGGAGGAGGAGGAGGAGGAGGCGACGGGGGGGAGGAGGGTGGGGAGGGGGAGGGGGAGAGGGTGACGAAGAGGAGGGGGGAGAAGAAAAAGAAGAAGAAGAAGAAGAAGAAGAAGAAGAAGAAGAAGACAAAGAAGAGAACGGGACGAGGACGAAGGAGGAGGAGAGGAAGTGGGGAAGGACGAGGAGGAGGGTGGTGAAGGAGGGAGGAGAGGAGGAGGGGAAGGGCGGAGGGGGTAGATTGAAGCGCGACGCTGATGTCCCTGAGGGTAGGCATGACCCTGTCGACGTCGGGTGGGGCTCGGGGCTTTCCCTATCCTTTGAGTTCGGCGCTCGTGAAGGTTTGGCGCCCACCTTCTGAAGATGGAATTCGGCTCGGGGGGGGGATCGAAACATCGCGCCGAAGTGTCCACTCGATTTCGGCCACTGGCGCCCGTCGCGGGCCCTCAGGCCGTCGGAAATCAGTCTAGGACGAAACTGGCCAGGATGGACCCGGGAGAGGTCTGGCGACCGATGTTAACGGTAGCTTGGCTGGGGAGGTGCCTCCTTCTCCTGCTCCTCCTCCTCCTCCTCCTCCTCCTCCTCCTCCTCCTCACCTTCCTCCTCCTCCTCCTTCTCCTCCTCCTCCTCCTCCTTCTCCTCCTCCTCCTCCTCCTCCCCTTCCTCCATGCATTTTCCGTGTGCATATATGTATGTATTCAAAAAAGAAGAACTATCCCTGTCGCACCCCGAGACCAGGTTATAGGGCTGGCCGGGCGTTTCGCGTGAGACTTCCTCGCCATGTATGACTCTGAAGCTTAAAATTGGTAACAGCTTCACAGATAGAGGGCGGCAAAATGAGGCTCTCGCTTTAGCGCCGCGCACACTCGTGTTAAGAATTGTAAGAGCTTCACGGATTCAGGACAAACCGTTTTCAAAATATGACTCTCGCCTTAGCACCGCGCACATTCGCTCATAAAATTTGCAAGAACTTCACGGATTGAGGGCGGTGCCTGTTCGAAATGTGGCTCTCGCCTTAGCGCCGCGCACATTCGTTCTAAGAATGTGCAAGAGCTTCACGGATTGAGAATAACCAGTTTTCAAAATTTGGCTCTCGCCTCAGCGCCGCGCACATTCGCTCATAGAATTTGCAAGAGCTTCACGGATTGAGGGCGGTTCCTTTTCAAAATTTGGCTCTCGCCTCAGCGCCGCGTACATTCGCCCATACAATTTGCAAGAGTTTCATGAATTCCCACGATCAACGTACCAGGAATGGCGTTTTGGAAAGATTCAGGATTTTGCGGATGCAACAGTTACATTGATTCGCGGTGTTGAAATCCCAAGAATGGCGTTCTGGCACGATCCAGGGTCGTCAAGACGCAACAGTCAAGTTGATATGTGGCGTTGGAATCCCGAGAACAATGTTTTGGCATGTTTCCGGGTCTTCAAACGGTTATCTTCCAACGAGGCAGATCCCTCAATGGAAATGAACCGATGTAGGGGCCTATGAAGAGGGAGCTTGGAGGGAGGGTGTTTTCCAACATCGTTGATGGCTCTTGGGTTTACACTCGTCTTTCTCCTCCTCCTTCTCCTCCTCCTCCTCCTCCTGTTCCACCACCTCCTCCTCCTCCTCCTCCTCCTCCTCCTCCTCCTCCTCCTCCGGGGAGGAGGATCAGTATCAGGATCAGAAAGAGAATGAGAAGGGCGAGGATGAGTGATGATCAGATGGGCGAGAACGGACGCTGGCGGGCCCCGGTGAGAACGAGAGTGCAGCCGTGGTGGACGACTGTGGCACCTCGGGAATCACCAGGCGGAGGAAGAGGACGAAGAGAAAGAAAAGCGAGGGGGGAAAGGGGGTGAGAGGAAGTGGGGGAAGTGGGGGAAGTGGGGGCAGGAGGAGGAAGGAGGAAGGAGGGAGTGAGGGAGGAGGTGGAGGAGGGAAGTGGGGGAAAGAGTAAGGAGCGAGGAAGGGAGGCAGGAGGGAGGAGGATGGAGGAAGCAGGAGGGAGGGCGGGAGGAGGAAGGAGGGCGAGTCGTTGGAGAATGAGGCGGAAGAGGATGAGGCAGAGGATAGGAAGAGGGGGTGGTGCACTGGCTGGTGGACAACGCTCAGATTGAGACGGTAGCAAGCGGCGACGAAGGAATTCAATATGATTACCCAATCGTAATATGATTGCTTCCTTGCAAAAAGGAAAAAAAAAAGAGACGACAGATAAAAATGCCGTGTCTGTGCTCGTCTTACCGTGGGAACCGAAGCCTCACCTTCCCCCCCCATCCCCTCCCCCCTCTCCCGTCCCGTCCCGTCCGCCCCCCCGACATCGCCCCCCCACCCCCATCTATCCCCTTCCCCTTCCCCTTCCCCTCTCGAGCACTGGAAGGCAAGGCAAAGACAGCGACAGAGAATGCAAGTCGGCTCCCTCTTTCGGCCACTCGATCCACCTGCACGGCCAGACCCAGGCTGCATGAAAAAAATAAACGCAGAGATAAGCTCGGAAGAGCAGAGCAATGACACCGATCCCACACGCTTGGGAGAGCCTTCACGGTTGCATCTAAGGACCTCCGCGGCCCGATGATAAACATGATTTCGATTGGATTTCGTCCAGATCTCGACCACCCCTCTTCACCCTGCCGTCCAGATGTCGTCCAGATGTCGACCAAGTCCGACAACATCCTCAGGAAAACCCCCGAAGCGCAAGGAATTGTCGGACCCTCTCCTGTGGACCACACAACGCACACACACACACACACACACACACACACACACACACACACACACACACACACACACACACGCACACACACACACACACGCGCGCGCGCGCACGCACGCACGCGCACGCGCACACGCACACGCACATGCACACGCACACGCACACGCACACACACACGCACACGCACACGCACACACACACACACACACACACACACACACACACACACACACACACAATCCACACACACACACACACAAACAAACAAACACGCACACACACGCACACACACACACAAACAAACAAACAAACAAATAAACCAACAAACAAACAATCAAACAAACAAACAAACAAACACGCACACACGCACGCACGCACGCACGCACGTACGCCCGAGGATACCGAAAGCGACGAGAAGCAGAAGGCTACGAAAACAAACAAATCGACGACTGAAGCTGCATTGCCTTTCAGGGCAGCGCGGGTGAAGCTTTGGCCAGTCACGCTCGCGCACATGCGTCGCCAGACGTCCCCTCCCGCCTCTCCCCACCACGCTGCCCTCCTGTGCCCACCCCTCCCACGCTCAAGAGGCTCCAAGAGGCCTGTTCTGCCCAAATGCGATCCCAGACTCGGAGGGGTAACACGACGGGACAGTCTCCTTTCAGCCCCCTCCTTCTCATTCCCGACACTGAGGCAAGAGAAGAGCGGATAGGAGACACCCCAAACAAACAATAATTCCGCATCCTCGTGCACAAACGACACCACGGCAAAAAGTCGTTTCCCAGTGTTGCATCAAACGAGTACTCAGAATGTTGTGTTCCCTAAACAAACAGCTCGCGAACCTGCGTCGGCTCCACTTCTAAGGCGGTCGAATCGCACTCGCGCGACGTCCTCGGTATAGCCCCCAGGGCCCCAGCTCATGCCCAGACAGCAGGTATACCTCTGGGTATGCCACGGCCACAATTATTGAACGTGGGGCTGTTACATACACTTGCAAACAAAACGCGAACAACGGGGTCCAAAAGGTTTGACTTATCATTGCACTGGCCTTGCAGACGTGCTGCAGCGGATTTCTGCGTGGATTTCTGCGTGCATTTTTGCCCGAAGCAGCGAGCGAAAAACGAAGTGAACTTCGCATGGATTTTTTCTAGTCCTCAGTCCTGGCCAAAAAAACGCACGAAATTCCCTTCGAAATCCGGAACGATCTTCTCCCGGACAGCCCGGACCCATCCCATCCTGTTCCGAACGAAATCCGCTCTGCTGTGTTGGCGCTATGAGATTTGGCCTACCCAAAGCTGAGGGATGAAAAAACGACCCTACCCTGGATTACAAGTGCGTGGTCTGTAAACCTCCTGGGAACCCCCAAAGCCTAGAGCCGCCAGGACGCGGCACATCACGCAGGGTTAACCCTGTCAGCCCACAGGAGTTTCAGCGCACAGCGCCTCGTAAACCAGGGTAGGGGCGTTTTTTCTGCCCTTGACAAAGCGTGGTCATGCCCCCGCTGTTCTCTTGGCGGGGCCTCCCCACTCAGGGCGGCACGGAAGCGCCGCGCGAAGGGCCGGAGACTCAGTCCTCCTCATCATCAGCATTAGGTCGGGCAGGGCCCCCTACAGGAGGATCTTGGACGAGAAATAGAAATAGAAAAGAGTCAAAAAATGCCCAAAAAAAATTTCATTTGTACTCAAAAACTAGTCCCCGACTATTTTTTGCCTATTTTTGAATATTCCCCCTAGAGGGACAGGCCCGACTTCACATCAGCACCACGGTCATCATACTCATTGTACTCATCGCCTTGATCGTCGCCACAAGGACGGGGGCACTGGACGCTCAATTTGGAAGCAGGGAAGAGACGCAACATGAGAAGGTGACGAACAAAGCTAAGCAGCTGCACTCTGTGCCAGGTATGGCCGACACTCACGGAATATATAGTTTGTACTATGCTAGTACGCGGCTGTGGAGGAGGAGGAGGAGGAGGAGGAGGAGAGGGAGGAGGAGGGAAAGCGGGGGAGGGGAAGGAAAAGAGGAGGACGAGAAGATACCCTGCCGCAGCAGCGGTCTGGAAGATTCGCTCCACAACGAAGACGCCTTCACAAGCGCAGAAGTCACGCGCGGCGCGGACAGGCGGGCCCAGCGAAAAAGTGACGTGAACCCCGACACGCAAGAACCTACGGCATCGCGTGCGGGAGACAGGGTGGGCAGGACAAGGATCTGGGCAGGACGCGAGGCGATGAGGAGGCAACAGATCTGGGCAAGCAGGCGCAGCGCCGAGCCGTGGCCGCGGCATGGCCGATGGACAGACGCCACCTCCTCCTCCTCCTCCTCCTCCTCCTCCTCCTCCTCCTCCTCCTCCTGCTCCTCCTCCTCCACCTTTTCCCCTTCCTCCTCGTCCTCCTCCTTTTCCCCCTCCTCCTCGTCCTCCTCCTCCTTTTATCTTTTACCCCTCCTTTTCCTTCTCCGCCTCCTCCTCCTCCTCCGTTTCCCCCTCCTCTTCCTCCTCGTCCTCCTCCTCCTCGTCCTCCTCCTCCTCGTCATCCTTTTCCCCCCCTCCTCCTCCTCCTCCTCCTCCTCCTCCTCCTCCAAAAGCAGCATGCACGAGACGCCATCCGGGTGTGGGGCAGGCGCCCGGCCTCGAGCAGCGCCGGTCGCTTCGCCGCGCCGCACCGGAGGAGCAGGAGGCTGCGGGGGGCGGCCTGCACCTGTCGCTCCCCCGAGGGGCCGAAGCAGCTGGGCGTGTGGCGGCGTGGAGGGTTTCTCCGAAGGGCTTAGGCGACCCGTCATCCTCCTTGCTCCTCCTCCTCTTCCTCCTCCTCCTCCTCCTCCTCCGCCTCCTCCTCCTCCCCCTCCTCCTCCTCCTCCTCCGCCTCCTCCTCCTCTTCCTCCTCTTCTTCCTCCTCCATGTTTTTGCATATAAATAACTTCTCCCTGAGACTTCCTCACCACTACTGACTCTGAAGCTCAACAAGTGGCAACAGGTTCACAGAGGGAAGGCGGTTCCTTTTCAGAATGTGGCCCTTGCCTTAGCGCCGCGCACATTCGTTTAAAATTTTGCAAGAGCTTCACAGATTGAGGGCGGGTGGTTTTCAAAATGTGGCTCTCGCCTTAGCGCCGCGCACATTCGATTAAAAAATTGCAAGAGCTTCACAGATTGAGGGCGGGTGGTTTTCAAAATGTGGCTCTCGCCTTAGCGCCACGCACATTCATTTGAATGAATTGCAAGAGTTTCGCGGATTGAGGGCGGGTGGTGTTCAAAATGTGGTTATCGCTCTAGCGCCGCGCATATATGTTTTAAAAACGTGCAAGAGTTTCAATGCTTGTGGGGGGGTCCTTTGCAGAATGTGGCTCTCGCCTTAGCGCCGCGCACATTCGTTTTAAAAATTTGCAAGAGCTTCACGGATTGAGGGCGGTTCCTCTTCAGAATGTGGATATCACGTTAGCGCCGCGCACATTCGTTGCCAAAAAAACAAGAAAGAGTTCCACTGCTTCCCATGATCAACGTACCAGACATGGTGTTCTGGAAAGATTCAAGATTATGCGGGTGCAACAGTTAAGTTGGCTCGCGGTGTGGAGGTCCCAAAAATGGCGTTCTAGCACCATTCTCGATCGTTAAGACGCAGCAGTCAGGTTGATCCGTGGCGTTGACATCCCGAAAACAATGATTCGGCATGCTTCAGGATCTTCCAGCGGTTGTCTTCCAACGAGGCAGTTCCCTCAATGGAGATGAACCGTTGTATGGGGCCTATGAAGAGGGAGCTTGGAGTGAGGGTTAATTCCAACATCGTTGATGACTCTTGGGATTGAACTGGTCCTCCTCTTCCTCCTCCTCCTCCTCCTCCTCCTCCTCCTCCTCCTCCTGCTCCTCCTCCTCCTCCTCCTCTTCCTCCTCCTCCATTCTTTTTGCATATAAATAACTTCTCCCTGAGACTTCCTCACCACTACTGACTCTGAAGCTTAACAAGTGGCAACAGGTTCACAGAGGGAGGGCGGTTCCTTTTCAGAATGTGGCTCTCGCCTTAGCGCCGCGCACATTCGTTTAAAATTTTGCAAGAGCTTCACAGATTGAGGGCGGGTGGTTTTCAAAATGTGGCTCTCGCCTTAGCGCCGCGCACATTCGATTAAAAAATTGCAAGAGCTTCTCGGATTGAGGGCGGGTGGTTTTCAAAATGTGGCTCTCGCCTTAGCGCCGCGCACATTCCTTGGCATGAATTGCAAGAGTTTCGCGGATTGAGGGCGGGTCCTCCTCCTCCTCCTCCTCCTCCTCCTCCTCCTCCTCTCCTCCTCTCGCCTGGCTAGAATTAGGTCGGGCGTGTCCTCCTGCAGGGGAATTTTGGGCGAAAACAATAATCTGAAGATGCTCCAAAATCGACAAATAATCGAATAATCGTCCCCAGACTATTTTTGATTATTTCTGTATGTTCCTCCTGTAGAGGGACGTGCCCGACCTAAAGCTAGGATGCGCAGAAGCTAGTTATGAAGAAGATCCTGGAGGCCTCGCGCGGCAACTTGAGACCCGAATTAAGTCTGATCCACGTCGGATGTACGTCAGGCTCACGTCGGACTTCGACGGAATTGCGTCGGACTTACGTCGGACAGCCGCCAGAGCATCGCCGCGCGAACGTCGACCCATAGCTTACGGAGCTGACGCATGGACTAGATAGTACAATTATTGCACGCCGCGCGAGGCTTCCAGGATTTTTCCTCATAAAGTTGGTGCTGATAGCTCGTCAGCGGAAAGTGGATAAATGAGACGGGGCTACACGCTATACCGTCAGGGCAACACACACACACATACACAAACCAGACGTCGTCCAGCCGAGACGCACAACCTCAGCCTCACTCGGTTCTTCTGCCTGCTCCTCCCCATTACCCTCCACCTTGGGCGCGGCCAGCAGCCTCCGCGGAAGGGACAGGCACGGGCCACGAGCAGCCAAATCCGAAGCTGGCGGCCACTCCCACCTTGGGTGATCATGCCGGGCCCCACTGCGCCCTTCACTGTGCAGACGAGCACGAGAAAACCAAAGCAGGAGCAGGTCGAAGGCCACGCACAACAGAAGCTCTAATAACCAGCACGTTTGACCGCAACCCATGGGCCACGAACAACCAGATCCACAGCTGGCGCGCCACGGGGCCATGCGCCCATGGGCCAGGAACGCTCAACACACAACATTTGCGCAATGGAAAGCCACGGGCCACGCCCAAACAAGAACCACGATCGCCAGCCCACGAGCCAAGGACCCGCGCACACCCGGGTCTTGCGCCCGCTGACATCCCTGAGAAAGAACTCGAGCCTCTGCAAGTTGCCACGAGGAGGAATCATATTTGATTCGACGATTGTCGAGAATACGTTCGCTAACCGTTGTCAACGCAGGTATGGCTAAAATGTGGACAGAACGGATGCTTGCTGCCTGTCTAGACTGCATCGAGCTGGTATGTCGGCCTTTCTTGATAGCACGTCGTTGGCTCGATATGTATCAGCCTTGTTCTCTGCTTTCTGCACCTGTGCGACTTTGATTCTCGTTTCACCCTTCTCACAGACAACTATCACTTCAATAGTTGGGCTATTGACATCTCGGATCAACTTCGTAGTCATCTACAGACACTAGGAGATCTTGAGTCTTGGCAATCACCATTTCTCGTACGACAGTGAGCTTCAGGGGGGCATCGCCTGTACGCGAAATCCAAGGCATGCCAGCTCGAGTTGACTGCAAAGGCATTGCTGAATTCTCCACCTGACATCCTGCGCCCCTGCACCACCCGCCATACCTCCGCCGCCCTCCTGCTTTGCACCCCACCTCCCTACCTCAAGAGTAAAGTGCAAGGACCCGGCTCCCTGCACAACGACCCTCGGCACCAGCATCACGCCACACGCCATCGCGTCCCGAGAACTGGCGGCCGCCTCCACCGCGCTGAGGCACAAAGCGAGCATAGAGAAGGAACCCTGAGTCCTTTGGCCGTGCCCACCCCTGTCTGCGCACGAGCAGCTCTTTGCAACTGGCGCAACACTGCCTGGAGCGGCTGGAAACGCATCCTGCCTGGCACCGACGTGACAGTTCGCACGCTGTTGGCACACAGTCAGTTGCGACACCACAGAGGACATTATTCGTCATAACTAGGGGAACAAAAAATTACATAAACATAAAAATTCGGAGATCCGCGCGGATTTCTCGGATCGGCGCTGGGGCCCCCCCGCGGCGCCTCCGGCGCCGCCGCTGGCGCGCTCCGCGCGCCAGGGAGGGGGGTCCAGCGCCGATCCGAGAAATCCAGGCGGACCTCCGAATTTTTATGTTTATGCCACTTTTTGTTCCCCTAATAACGCTTCCAATCCACCCCACGAGCACGATGCCAGGGCCGGGGCCGGGAGCGGGGTCGGGGCAGGGGGCCGGGGCCAGGGCCTGGGGCCGGGGCCGGGAGCCCTGGCTGGGACTGGGGTCAGGGCCGGGGCCGGAACTCCCCTGCCCAACGACACGCCAGCGAGCCAACCCATCACGGAACTGGCCCCCCAGCAAGCTCGACGGCCAAGACACAAACAGTTCATTCAACACTTCCTGCTTAAGGTGACTGCCAACACCCTCCTCCTCCTCCTCTTCCTCCTCCTCCTCCTCCTCCTGCTCCTCGTCCTCCTCCTCCTCCTCCTCTTCCCCCTTCTCGTACTCCTCCTCCTCCTCCTCCTCCTCCTCCTCCTCCTCCTCCTCCTCCTCCTCCTCCTCGTCCTCCTCATCCTCCTCATCATCATCATCCTCGTCCTCCTCCTCATCCTCCTCCTCGTCCTCCTCGTCCTCCTCCTCTCCGTAGCCATTTTGGCTCAAGTCCGTAGCCATTTTGGCTCAAGCAGCCTGCTCGCCCAGCCCCTGGTTCGAGCTGGCTATGGTCATGGCCGACGCGATGGCGGAGGCTCTCCTCGGTGCTATTGTGCGCGCTGGCGGCTCTCGCCAGGTGGTGGCGGCCACAGCGGTGGCCCTCTGGCGAGCGGCCCAGGCTGGTGGCTGCAACCTGCAGGTCGAGGACAAGGAGGTGGATCACGAGATCCAGGTGCGGGTCGAGCTCATCAAGCCCGTCCTGCGAGCGAAGGTCGAGGCGGCGGTCCGTGACAGGCCGATCGAGATCGACGGCGGGGCGACGGCGCTCCCGAACGTCGCGGAGCATGGCCTCTTCGGGGAGGGAGCGGGGGCGCTGCCCCAGTGCGGGAAGGAAGCCAAGCGGCAGCAGAGGGGGCGGCGGCGTCGCGCCCGCGGCGGGCAGGACACCGCCATCGTCGGCATCAACGGCCACTTCGATAACAAGATCGAGATGTGCCAGTTCGAGTTCGTCGATGAGGACGTAGTGATCCTAGAGAACACGCGGTTCCGCAAGGGGGCCACCAAGAACGGCTCCAAGTCCGAGCAGGTGGAGGAGCTGATGAAGAATGGCCAAAAGGCGGAGTTCGAGCCACCATCTAGGTTCATGAAGGAGGTGCAGGTCGACAAGGCTAAGAAGGTCGTGGTCTCTGCGTGCATGGCGGACTCTTCCTGCGTGCACGAGTCTACCGAGTACGAGTGGTCCGTCAACATGGTGCACCTCACGAAGGCGCAGGCCCCGACGGAGACCAAGGCAAACCAAGCCGTGTCGAAAATCAGGGGCGTGGGCAAGAGTAAGACCTACGACGCCTACGAAGAGTGCGACTTGTACATCATCGGCAAGGGCAAGCACGTCCTCAGCTCCAGAGGCTGAGGGTATCGCATCCGCGGGGCTCAGAACCGAGCCCTTCTCCTCACGAGTGCCAGCCTAGTGCCTCCAGCTCCAGAG